TGCAGACACTGAAACATCCTTGTATCTCTGGGATAAATTCCACTTAATCATAGTGTATGATCATTTTAATGTATTGTTGGAGTCAGTTTGCTAATATTTTGTTGAGGGCTTCTGCATCTACTTTCACCCATGTAATTTTCTGTTCTGTGATATCTCTGTCTCATTTTGATATCATGTGATGCTGGCCTTATAGAATGACTTTGGAAACATTCCTTTCGCTGCAACTTTGTGCAATACTTTGAGAAGTATAGGTATTAATTCTTCTCTAAATGTTTGGTAGAATTCCCCTATGAAGCCACTTGTTCTTGGACTTACGTTTTTTGGTTATTTTTTTAAATTACTGGTTCAATTTCATTACTGATAATTGGTCTGTTCATATTTTCTTTTTATTCCTGGTTCAGTCCTGGTTGTCATACAGTTTTTCCAACTAACGTCTCATGATCAGTTGCACTTCTGTGGTGTCGGTTGTAACATCTTTTTCATTTCTGATTTTATTGATTTGGGCCCTGCATATTACTTTTGATGAATCTGGCTAAAGGTTTGTCAATTTTGTTTATCTTTTCAAAGAAACAGGTTATAGTTTCATTGATATTTTCCATTTTTAAGTCTCTATTTCATTTATTTCTTCTCTGGTCTTTATGATTTCTTTCCTTCTGCTAACTTTGTGTTTTGTTTGTTCATCTTTTTCCTAGTTCCTTTAGGTGTAAGTTAAGTTGTTCATTTGAGACTTTTCATGTTTCCTGAGGTTTGTTAGTATCAGTATAAATTTTTATTTTAGAACTGCTTTTGCTGCATCTCATAGATTTTTGGATCATTTTCTGTTCATTTGTCTCTAGGTATTTTTTGATTTCCTCTTTGATTTCTTCATGATCCATTGGTTGTTTAGTAGCATGTTGCTTAGCTTCTGTGTGTTTGTGATTTTTGCAGTATTTTCTTTTAGCTGATTTCTAGCCTCATAGTGTTGTGGTGGGAAAAGATACTTGATATGATTTCAGTTTTCTTAAATTTACCAAGGCTTCTTTTGTGGCCTAACATTCCTAGAAAATGTCCCATGTGGACATGAATGTGTGTTCTGCTGCTGTTGGATGGAATGTTCTATATCTATCTATTAAGTCCATATGGTCTAATATGTCATTTAAGGCCAGTGTCTCCTTATGGATTTTCTTTTTGGATGATCTGTCTGTTGACTTGAGTGGGCTTTTAAAGTCCTTTACTATTATTGTGTAACTGTCTGTTTCTCCCTTTATGTCTGTTAATATTTGCTTTATTTATTAAGGATCTCCTATGTTGGGTGCATATATATTTCCAATTGTTACATCTTTTTCTTGGATTGATCCTTTGATCATTATGTAACGTCCTTCTTTTGTCTTAAAGTCTATTTTGTCTGATATAATTATTGCTACCTGGGCTTTCTTTTGATTTCCATTTGCCTGGAATGACTTTTTCAATCTCTTCACTTTCAGTCTGTGTCTTTAGATCAGAAGTGAGTCTCTTTTAGGTAGCATATACAAAGGTCTTGCTTTTGTATCCATTCAGCAACTCCATGTCTTTTGATTGGAGCATTTAGCTCATTTAAATGTAATTATTGATATGTGTGTTCTTATTGCCAAAAGAATAGTTAATAGTAGTTTTGTTAATAGTTTTTGGGTTGTTTTTCTAGGTCTTTTTGTTCCCTTCTTCTTTTGTTCTTTTGTGATTTGATGACTATCTTTAGTGTTATGTTTGGATTACTTTCTCTTCTTTGTGTATCTATTACAGAATTTTTGGTTGTGGTTACCATGAGGTTTATATACAGCTATCTATCTATCTATCTAAAGTTCGATCTCTTAATTTCAAACACATTTTAACTATGCTTCATTTGTACTCTCCTCCCCTCATGATTACTATTTTTGACATATTTTACATCTAATTATTTTGTGTATCTGTTAACTTCTTATTGTGGTTATAGATGACTTTACCATTTTTGTTTTTAATCCTTCCTATGAACTTTGCATATGGTTGATTTTCTACTTTTACTATATATTTGCTTTTACTGATGAGCTTTTCCTTTCATAATTTTCATGTTTATAGTTGTGGCCTTTTCTTTTTTGCTTAGAGATGTCCCTTTAACATTTCTGGTAAAGCTGGCTTGGTGGTGTTGAACTCTTTCAGCTTTTGCTTGCCTGTAAAGCTTTTGATGTCTCCATGAGATGTGAATGAGAGCTTTGCTGGATAGAGTATTCTTGGTTCTAGGTTTTTCCTTTTCATCAGTTTAAATATATCTTGCCACTGCCTTCTGCCTGCAAAGTTTCTGCTACAAAGTCAGCTGACAGCCTTATGGATATTCCCTTGTACGTAACTTGTTGCTTTTCCCTTGCTGCTTTTAATATTCTCTCTTTAGCTTTAATTTTTGCATTTTTAATTACAAAGTGTGTTGGTGTGTTCCTCTGGATTGGGACTCTCTGTTCTTTCTGGACTGGGATTTTTTCATCTCCCTAGTTAGGGACATTTTCAGCTATTATGTTTAAATATGTTCTCTGTCACCTTTTTTCTCTCTTCTTCTTCTGGGACCCCTCTAATGTGAATGTTAATATGCTTGATGTTGTCCCAGAAGTCTCTTTAACAGTCTTCATTTCTTTCCATTCTTTTTTTCTGCTAAGCATCAGTGATTTCCACTACTCTGTCCTCCAGCCCACTGATCTGTTCCTCTGTACCATTTAGTCTACTGCTGATTCCCCCTAGTGTATTTTTCATTTCAGTTATTGTATTCTTCATCTTGTTTAGTGGTTCTTTATATTTTCCAACTCTTTGTTAAAAACTTCTAATTTCTCACTCTGTCCATCCATTCTTCTCCCAAGTTTTTTGGGATCATCACCCTGAATTCGTTGTTGGGTAGTTGTCTATCTCTACTTCACTTAGCTCTTCTTCTGGGTTGTATCTTATTCCTTCATTTGGACCATTTTCCTCTGTCAATTCATTTTGTCTAACTTAACGTTTATATTTCTATGTATCTGGGAGGTTGGTTCCATTTCCCAACCTTGGAGAAGAGGCCTTTTGCAAGAGACTTCCTATGAATCCCAGCAGTACACTGCTCTCGTCATCAGAGCTATATCCTCTAGGAGTGCCCCTATATGTGTTGTGCGGGTCCTTCTGTTGTGGTAAGCTGATGGCTATGGGTGGCCTGGTTGGCTTGGTTGGCCCCCAGTCTGGTTGTTTGCCAGGACCTTCCTGTGTGGAGGCTGCCGGCCTCCACTGGTTGGCAGGGTTGGGTCACAAGGTGGCTGGCTGTAGAACCCTGGGGAGCCCTGGGGTTAGTTCTGTATCACTGGTGGATGGAGTCAGGTCTAGAAGATCCTGAGGCTGGGGCCAGCCCACCAATGGGTGAAGCCAGATCCACGGGACAGTGCCAGCCCAAAGGCAGGCAGTGACAGGTTCTGGGGTCTGGCTGCAGGGCTGAGGGCTTCCAGAGATGGCAATGGACTGCTGGTGGGTGGGTCTGGTTCGAAGCTAGAGCAAGCTTATTGGTGGGTGGAGTCAGTGATTCTGGGGCTGGTGCCTGCCCACTGGTGGGTGGATCTGGATCTCTGGCTGCAGGGCCCTGGGGGTCCTGGGTCTACTGCCTGCACATTGGTGTGTGGTGCCAGGTCCTAGACCCTCTGGTGTGCAGGTATGTGTCCAGGGGTGGCTTTTGGCTCAGAAAGTCTTAAAGCAGTCTCTCTTCTGATGGGTTGGGCTGTGTCACTGCCCAGTTAGTTGCTTGGCCTGAGGCTTCCCAGTACTGGTGCCTACAGGTTGGTTGTTGTTGGTGGGGTGGATTCCAAAATGGTGCTGCAGCACCAGCGGTAGAATGAACTCTCAAGAATGGCTACTGTCAGTGTCTATGTCCCTAGGGAGACTCTTCAAGATTAGCAGGTAGGTTTGACCCCAAATCCTTTAAATTACTGCCTCTATGCTGGGACCTGAAGCATGTGAGATGTTGTGTGTGCCCTTGGAGAGTGAAGCCTCTATTTCGCAGAGCCCTCTGGAACTCCTAAAAGCAAGCCCCACTGGCCTTCAAAGTCAAATGTTCTGGGGACTCATCTTCTTGTTGCAGAACCTCCAGGCTGGGCAGACTGATGTGGGGCTCAGACCCCTTATTCGCTGGGAAGAATCTCTGCAACTGTAATTATTCTCCCATTCATGAGTTGCCCAAGCCAGGGAACTGACTATACTGTGACTCTGCCCCTACTACCTGCCTTGCTGTGGTCCCTTTTTTATATCCTTAGTTCTAGAAGACCTTTCTTGGTAGGTTCCAGTCTTTTATATCAATGGTTGTTCGGTAAATAGTTGTAATTTTGCTATGTCCATGAGCTAAGGTGAGCTCAGGGTTATTACTCTACCATTTTCAATGACAGTTGTTTTAAAAAAGATTCTGTTGACTGTCTCTTTCCCTTTTTTTTCTGTTAAGCTCTCTGCCTCCTTTGGTATCACACCAATCGAGAAGAAGTGTGCCAAACACTGTTATGCCAACACAAGGGGCAACAGTGTGAACTATAAACTATATAATAGAACTAACGGTGTCTACTTCACATGAGATATTGAAAATGTGTCTGATATTTTAAACATATAGAGGGAATTAGTAACCAATGAAATAACTACATGCTAAATCCCTCTTTTAATCCCATTCATAAAATAGCCTTTCTGCATTTGCAAATACAAAGCAACTATACTTCTAGCCTGAAAAAGAAAGTGAGTAGAACAGCATTTGAAATGTTTCCATCAAGCATGTTCCAAGCTCACTGTATCATTCCATTTTTATGGATCATTTTTTTAATTGAATGGATTCTAAAATTAAAAATATGCAGCTAATTCTCCATTGATAGCAACTGCTAGAATTCCAGTAATTATAGGAGGGAATCTGTGAAGACGTTTTATCCTGTAATAATAGCATATAGGTACTGTAGTCACTAAAGATCCAAAGTTAAATAAACTTCAGAGAAGATAAAAAACAGGAAATAGACGTGAAATATTCTTCTTCTTACCAAGACGACTCTTGGGTTGTGTCTTGAATTCACTCTTCATAATACTTCTTCCAACAATATTTGGGAAGCGTTCTGTGTCACTCTCTATAGAAATAAACAGTTTCAAAATACTTCTGTAAGCTAAGTATTAACATGTGTATGTTTGTAGAATGTGTGTATCCTTTAATTAGATCTTTTTATTATAGAAGAAGAATTATAATGAAATGTCTGGACTGCAGACATAATACCTTAGAATTGGAAGAGCCATTAGCAGTTGTTTAAACCTCATTATATTGAGGCTTAGAAATGCTTAGTGATTTGACCAAGACCATATATCCAGGCAATGACAAAACTGACTCATAAACTGAGGCCTCATAGTTCCTTAACTAGGACTTTTCCCATGAAATACAAAGTCTTTCACAAATTTAAGTCATCCTAGAGAGTTTTTCTTAATAAATATAACTCTCTTGTGTATATTAAAAACACATTCATATGGGAGGGATGTACCTGGTGAGGTGGGACAAAACACTTTTTCATTTTTGTATTTGATTACTACATTCATTTCAACTCCTTTCCTCGTAGCAGTTTCTGTCTTTCAGATTTTATTTAGTGTTTAATTATAAATTTACCATTAATAAATATAAAATAATTAATTTTGTTGTTAAAAGGCATGATTCTTTTTTGTATTTTATTTTTAAACATCTTTACTGGAGTATAATTGCTTTACAATGGTGTGTTAGTTTCTGCTTCATAACAAAGTGAATCAGCTATACATATACATATATCCCCATATTTCCTCCCTCTTGGTCTCCCTCCCACCCTCCCTATCCCACCCCTCTAGGTGGTCACAAAGCACCAAGCTGATCTCCCTGTGCTATGCAGCTGCTTCCCACTAGCAATCTATTTTACATTTGGTAGTATATAAAAGTCCATGCCACTCTCTCACTTCGTCCCAGAATTGAACGGATGTAAATGAAAGCACTTTGTTGCTGTGTCTAAGGCTGTTATTCAAAACTGACAAGGACTCCTATTAATAAGCAACATGGAAGCAAAAATTAATTGAAAGAACCTAACCAAAAATACTCTGAAAATTAAAGACATGGAAAAATGGCTTATCGTAATACACCAAATTTAACTGCTTGGTTCCAACAATTTCATTTTTACACCACGCAGCTTTTCCCCAGTTAAAAGCTGTTGGAGCAAGTAATATTTATTTGATTCATTTACAACACTATTTTTTTTACAGGAATAAAAGCGAGAATATAATAAAATAAAGCATTCAAAAGCAAAGTTTCAGAAATCTTGCCTTAAATTTCAGTGAAAACACAAATTTTGGTGCTTATATCTGAGGATTCAGTTACTTTCCAATGCTAGCTTTCAGCATCAATTCTGTAAAAAGTTCAAAACGACAGTATTTCTTGCAACAAAGAGAAATGTATCGAACCCTGTTACTCCAGGACTAAAGCAGTAATCTGTGAATAATGAAACTCAGCTAGAGAACTCCACTCTAGTAGAGATATAAATTTACATACCAACTTAATTATGTAGAGGAAATTGGTAATCAGTGATATAACTGTTATGTTCCTCTTCTTATGCCACTCATCAACTAGCTTTTTTGCTTTTTCAATTTCAAAGCAATATTCCTTTCTAAGCCAGCAAGAAAGTGAGTAGAATCACAGTTATAAATACTTAAACCAAGCATATTCTAAGGTCATTAGAGCATTGGATCATATGGATTACTTTCCAAATGAATGAGATTACAACTGAAAAATATCCAGCTAAATTTCCATTGACAGTAAATACTAGAGTTTAATCATAAGAGGAAATTCATGAAGATTATTGCCCATTAATACTAACATACAGTTACTGTTATCATTAATGATTCATCGTTAATTAAATCCCAGAGAAGACATAAACCATAAATATTAGACTTGGAAAATTCTTGTTCTTACCAGGGTGACTCTGATGATGTGTCTTGATTTCACCAACTGCTTTTTCTCTTCCAACAGTATCTCTCATGCGTTCTATATCAGTCTCTATGGATAGAAAACAAATTTCAAAACACATTATAAGGTAACCATTAACACACATGTATGTGTGTCTTTGTGTCTGTGTGTAGTACTAACTTAATTAGTACTTGTATTATCGAAGAGACATAATATAATGTCTGCACTGCACAATCATAAAACATTAGAATTTGAAGGGCTCTTAGCAATCATATAAGCCTCATGCTATTGAAGCTTAGAGATGTTTTGTGATTTGATTGAGAACACACACCAAGATAATGCAAAACTGAGTACAAGCTGATGCCCCATAATTCCTTAACCAGTGCTTTTCATACACAATGCACTGTCCCATACAAACTTCAATCATCTTGGGGAGTTTGTGTAAATGATATAACTGCAAAGTTTACACTAAGAGGACACTCATACTGTTAAGGATATACCTATGAGTGGAACGTGGCATTTTTTCCCCACTGGTCAAGAGACAAACCATGGTCCCACATTACGGAAAGTTACTACCAGGTAGAAATTCTTTGACTCTCTCAAGAATGTTTAATGCCATTTTTAAGGCTATGTAAATCAAGCAGACATCAAAGATGTAGAAGAGTAACAAGATATTCTGTAGTCTAAGAAAAACTGCCTATCAGGTCCTCTTACTATGTACACCTTGTAGCTGGGGAGGGGGAAATGGGTAAATCTGAGGCAGTACCAGCATTGGGACTGCATCCCATCCCATCTGAGTTTTTATGTGATTTGGACATTTGGCAGGATTTAGAAAGTACTAACTAGGTCAAAGGAGAGAAATAACATTCATGTATTTTGTTTTAATACATGAAAGTTTAAAGAAAAATTCATATTGAAAGAGGGGTTAAGTAGGATTGCTGACTTGGGTCAAATTATGTGTCCAGTGTTTTATGAATGAAAGCTAGTTACAGAAGAGCATGCACCAGAGGTTGGAAACCTATCCTGAACCTGACACCATAAGGTGGATCTTACTTTGTTGTAATGGCTGAGACCAGAAGTAAGTGTTAAAGAGCCAATTGAGTAGATATAATTGAGGCTCTCTGGTTTTTCTCGAACTGGTATAGGTTAAGAATGACAGGCCCAGTTGAAAGAAGCAAGTAAAGATGCTTATATAAGCAAGGAAGCATTAAGAAGAGCATTTGATAGCAGATAGCAGATAGAATTAAGGACGAGGGAAAAGGGAGTATGTGCTAGAGAAATCTGAAATCTAGTAAGAATCACAATTTCCCTCCTCACAATACCCTCCCACTGCTTAAATTATTTTTTAAGCCTACTCTTCCTGAAGTTCCTAGTATATGATCCACACTTTACTGTTTCTTTGCATGTCTCATATTTTTGGGGGTTTTATACTGGGCGTTCTAGACAATATCTTGTAAGAAATCTGGATACTGAGTTCCTCTCCCCTTTGGAGGCTTGCTGTTGCTGTTTGCCTGATTATTTATTTAGTGACTTGGCTGGAATATATTCTATTGTAGAGAAGTCTCCTTCTCTGCAGTGTGAATCTTCTAATGTTGCTCCTCTGGGGGCACAGACTTGGGCATGCAAACAGTCACCTTTGGATGACACTTGTTTTTCCTGCTGACGGTCTCTTTCCTTTTTCTGTTAAGCTCTCTGCCTCCTTTAATATCACACCAAAGATCAAGAAGCAGTGTGTCAAACACTATAACACCAAGACAAGTGGCAGTAGTGTAAACTACGGACTATGTAACAAAACTAAACACCTCTACTTCACCTGAGATACTGAAAATGTGCCTGGTATTTCAATTATATAGAGGGAATTAGTAAGCAATGAAATCTCTCTTTTAATCCCATTCCTAAACCAGCCTTTCTGCTTTTGCAAATACAAAGCAACCATCTTTCTAGTCTGAAAAGGAAAGTGAGTAGAGCAGCATTTGAAATGCTTCCATCAAGCATATTCTAAGCTTACTACAGCATTGAATTTTTATGGATAAGTTTTAAATGAATGGGTTCTAAAACTTACACTATGTAGCTAATTTTCCATTGTTAGTAACTGCTAGAGTTCCAATAATAATAGGAGGGAATTAGTGAAAACGTTTCATCCTATAGTAATAGCATATAGGTACTATAGTCATTTAGACCCAAACTTAAATAAACTCGAGAAGATAAATAAAGCAGAAATAGACTTGAAATATTCTTGTTCTTACCAGGATGACTCTTGGATTGTGTCTTGATTCCACCCTTTATTATACCTCTTCCAATAGCATCTGGGAAGCGCTCTGTATCAGTGTCTATAGAAATAAAGTTTCAAAACACTTTTGTAAGGTATATATTAACATGTGTTTTTGTGTGTGAGTTTATGTGTGTATAGTACGCCTTTAATTAGCATTTTAAAATTATAGGACAGCAATTATAATGAAATGCCTGGACTGTAGGCTCACAGGACCTTAGAGTTGGAAGGGCCGTTAGCAATCATACAAGCCTCATTATATTGAGGCCTAGAAATGGTTAGTGATTTGACCAAGGCCACAAATCTAGGTAACAACAAAACTGATCCATAAACTGATACCTGATAATTCTTTAACTAGGGTTTTATCCATAAAATACAAAGTCTTTTGCAAATTTAAGTCATCCTAGAGAGTTTATTTTAATAAATGTAACTTTCTTCTCTACATTAAAAGCATATTCATATCGTAAAGATATACCTGGTGAGGCCAGACATGACATTTTTTTCCCAGGTTAAATTGCAAACAATGGGCATCACAGTCACAGAATTTTACTGTGAGGCAGAAATTCTTTGACTTGTCCAGGAACACTTTAATTCCCTTTTTTTAAGGTTATGCAACTGTTTGTCAAGTAGGCATCATTGATGGAAAAGAAAAACAAGTAATTTGTGGACAGAGATAAAGCACCCTCTCAGGTTCTCTTAGCATGTAGACCTTTTCTCCCCTGTGCAGGAGGAAATGGGTAATTTGCAGGAATGTGAGCACTGATATTGTACCCCTTTCCATCTGAGTCTTTACATGGTTTTTACTTTTTGTTGGATTCAGAAATGATGATATAGGTCCAATATCAGAAAAAAATTTATTTAAAAGAATTTTATATTGCAAAAGGAATAATGAGAATTGGTGACTCTGGGTCACCTGTTGCGTAAAGTTTTGTGTGGGCAAAAATTGGTTCTAACACAGCATGTAAGTGAAGTTGGAACCTGTCATATCCAGAATTTATAGATTGAAAGTCTTCCTTTGGAGAAATGGCTGAGCCCATGAATACTTCAAACATGCTCTATCACTGAGGCAACACAAATTTATCACCACTGCAATCTAAACAGAGGTAAAGACCATATGGGGCGTCACTACTAAAATCAAAGACACATTGGATTGGGCAGAACAAGTTTTTAGTAATTAAGTTACAGCATTTGTGAAAGTAATGTCTGCTATAGCAACACATAACTGGAGAACATCAGCAGACAAACTTTAGCCCTCTGGTCTTTCTCCAACAGATATAATTAGAAGAACTGATTCATTTGATCTGAGAAAGCAAAGGATCCTTAGGTGAGCAGGGAGGCAGTGAGAACAGCCCTTGAGGGCAGACTGAATTAAAAACTAGGAGCATAATAAATGATATGGGGTGGAGAAACCTAATCTATTAAGAGCCACAATTTTCCTCCTTCACAACATTTCTTATTGCTTTTAAGTCTTTTAAAAAATCCTACCCTGCTTGGAGTTCGCTGAACTATTTTTAAAAAAACATGTAACATGCTATACAATTGACCCATTTTAAACATCCATTCTATGCTTATCAGTATATTCATAGAACTGTGTAACAATCACCATAGTCAATTTTAGAATCTACTTCTACTTATACTAAACAGATTAAATTCCAGGAAGATTTAGAAATGTTATTTTCATATTCTACATATATAGTTCTCTTTATAACTTAATTCTTATAATTTTTTCCCATTTTTATATATGAAACATATAAACATAAATTCATTTATTACAATTGTTTTTTAAATTATTTATTTACATAACTTTGTGCTACACAGAGAAACTGAGAGAAGACAAAGCATGTATATATAGTGTTTATTATTTTAACCATTTTATTTATAATATCTGGTTTTCTTTTCTGTCATTATTTAAAATGATATTTTCTGCTCTTTAATGCCTCTGCTGTCCATGCTATATTTCCATACTTTAAATTTGCTGATTCTTTCTTCTGACAGTGTTAAAAACTGAACACCCCCTACTGGATTTAAAAAAATTCAGTTATTGTACTTTCAATCCTGGATTTACATGTGTTCCTTTTCAAAATAATGTATTTCTCTTTGTATATATTCCCTATTTGATGAAACACTATCAGACCTTCCTTTCCTTCTAAATAATGTTTACATTTAGTTCTTTGAACATATTTATAATAACTGCTTTTTAGTCTAGTTTAGTTTTAGTTTTGTCCAATATCTAGGATTCTCACAGGCAGTTTTTTGTTGCATGTCTTTTTCCTTGTTATATGTCACATTTTACTGTTTCTTTACATGACCCATAATTTTATGCTGAAAATTGAATATTTTAGATATATAATATAGCATCTCTGCATACTGACTTCTTCCTCTTACAGGGCATATTATTATTGTTTTCTTGTTTATATATTTAGTTATTTGGCTAAAATATTTTACTGAAGTCATTTCCCTTAGCAGTTTGAAAGCATAACTGTTGCTCCCCAAGGGAAAAAGCCTTGGATAATAGTGGTTTTAGGAGTGTTGTCTTTGTCTCTTTCCGTTACATCTCTGTTAAATTGTCTGCCTCTTTTGGTGTCACAGCAGAAGTCAAGGGCAGTGTGCCTATCACTGTTACAAGAGTAAAGGCTGTAGTACAATCTCTGAACTACGTAACACAACTAATGACTCTACCACAGATGAGTTAGGATAATATACCTGATATTTCCATCGAATAGAGAGAAATGGTAACCAATGAATTAACTATCTGTTAAATTCCCCTTGTTCTTATCACATTGATCCGGAAACCTTTCTCCTTTTCCTTCTATCTAAGCCAGTAATAGAAAAAGATTAGAACAGAACTGAACATACTTGCATCAAGTATATTCTAAGGCCACTATAGCATTTAATTTTATGGTTTAATTTTTAAATGGCTCATTTCTAAAAATCAAAATGTCTAGCTAACTTTTAAAGTTCTAGTAAATACCACAGTACAATTAATTATGAGGGTAATCACGAAGACTTTACCTATATAATAATAATATACAAGTACTCTTATCATTAAAAAATTCATACATAAACTCCAAAGAAGGTAAATAAACCATAAAGATTAGACTTGGAAGGATTAGACTTACCAGGGACACTCTTTGGTTGTATCTTCATTTCTGCCATTAATATACGTCTTCCAACAGTATCTTTCAAGGGTTCTAGATCAATTTCGATAGAAATAAACAGATATCAAAACACTTTGTAAAGTAACCCTAACACATGAGTGTGTGTCTGTGTGTTCATGTGCAGTACTATCTTTTATATATATATATATATATATATATATATACACACACACACACACACAACGGCTGTGTTGGGTCTTCGTTGCTGCACGTGGACTTTCTCCAGTTGTGGCAAGTGGGGGCTACTCTTCATTGCAGTGCACAGCCTTCTCATTGTGGTGGCTTCTCTTGTTGCGGAGCATGGGCTCTAGTTGTGCAGGCTTCAGTAGTTGTGGCACATGGGCTCAGCAGTTGTGGCTCATGGGCTTAGTTGCTCTGTGGCACGTGGGATCTTCCTGAACCAGGGCTCAAACCCGTGTCCCCTGCACTGGCAGGTGGATTCTCAACCACTGCGCCACCAAGAAAGCCCCATGTGTGGTACTATCATAATTAGCCTTGTTATTAATAAATATGCATTATAATGGATTATATGGGTTGAAGAATCATTAAACCTTAGAATTGGAATGGCCGTTAGCAATCATTAAGCCTCCATATATTGAGGCTTAGAGATGTTAATGACTTGACCAAGATTGTGTATCCAGATAATGACAAACTTGATGTACAACCTTCCAACTTATAATTCTTCAACCAGTGCTTTTTCCATACAATGCTATCTCTTATGCTAAATTAAAATATCTGGGAGAGTTATGATAATAATATAACTCTTAAGTGTACATTAAACTCATAATCATACTGTAGGGATATATACCCAGTAATGTGGAATATAACAGTTTTTTCCTCAGATTATGTTGCAAACTAGGGTCGCCATGGAAATTTACCACAGAGCAGAAATACTTGGACTCATCCAGGAATATTTTAATGCCCTTTTTATGTTACTTAAGCATAAACAAAGTAGGCATCAGTGATGGAAAAGAATAACAGAATGTTTTATAGATTGAAAAAACGTGCTCTCCCAAGTCCTTTCAGCATGTAGACCTTGTTGCTTGGGAGGAAGAAATGGTTAAATTTGTAGAAGTACCTGGATTGAGATTGGGTCTCTTACCATTTGAGTTCCTATGTCATTTAAAATTTTTGCTTGATTTAGTAACTGCAGTTAGGTCCAATTACAAGAAAAATACATGAACATTATTAGAGGAGAGTTTATACTGAAAAGGAATAATTAGAAATGATCAACTATTGGGTCTAAAATTTTGTGGTGAATTTGTTTCTAGCAGAACATGTACCTGAAGTTAGAAACCTGTCATGACTAAGATACCCAGATGGAAGTCTTTTTTCAGAGAAATGGATGAGTCAGTAAGTATTAAAGGTTGTGCAATCTGTGTAGAGGTGGTTACCTGCTGCAGCACCATTACCAAAATGAAACAGGTGTGTCAGATTAGGCAGAACAACTTTTCAATACTTAAGTAGCAACATTTTGTGAAAGTAATAAGATCTATAGCAAAACAAAACTGGGGAATATTAGCAGTTAATATTTTAGCTTCTCTAGTTCTTTCTGCAACTGGTATATGTAAGAAGGACTTGCTCATTTGAATTAAGGAAGCAAAGAATACTTAAATAAACAAGAGGCAATGAAAACAGCATCTGAGGGAAGGTTAGGTTAAGTACTAGCAATTAAAAAGTATGTGCTGGAGAAATGTATTATCTAGTAAAAGTCAGTTTTCTCCCTTATCATACCCTCCCACTTTTGAAATCCTTTTTTATCCTATTCTTGGCATTCATTGAGCTAGTTTTAAAACATATATAACATATTATACAATTTGCCCATTTAAAGTGTTCATTTCAATGTTTTTAAAGATATATTCACAGAGTTGTATGACCATCACCACAGTCAATTTTAAAAGAGACTAGGCAATGTTCTTACCACAAAAAAGAAATGATAATTATCTGACATGATGGAGGCATTAGCTAACACTAGGGTGGTCATCATGTTGCAATATACAAATGTATCAAATCAACACCTTGTAAATGTTAAATACACAATGTTATAGGTCAATTTTTTCACAATGAAAAAAGAATCTACATCAGAATTATACTAAGTAAATTCCAGTAATTCCAGTGAGGTACAGAAATGCTACCCTCATATACCATTATTCCCTCCTCCACATTTTTGCACTGCTATTATACGTATTATAAATATAATAACCTATAAGCTATAAAGTCATTTTTAAAACTTAACATTATTTATGTTTAATTATTGTTTAATTATTGCTTTATTTCTTTACATATATGTATTTATACTACCTTTTATAATTACAGAATTACTTTTACCCAGTCTCTTTTTTAGGGGATTCAAATTTTCAGCCTGAAGAATTTCCTTTGTAGTTGTCATAAAGTGAATCTGCTAGCAATGAATTTTCTCAATTTTTTATTTGTTTTAAAATCTCTTTACTTCACCTTTATTTTTGAGAGATAATTTCGCTGGATATAAAATTTTGGGTTGACAGTTATTTTTCTTTTGCATTTTGAATAGGCCATCCTATTGCCTTGTGCTCTCCATAGTTTCTGATGAAAAGTCAGCCATAAATCTTATTGGAGTTCCCAATAAGGAGTAGAAATAACAGTTTTCCAGTGTGTGCATGTATCAGTTTATACTACTACCAGCAGTTTCTGAAAGTTCTGTAATAGTTGCTCTACATTATCATGACTTGATTCTGTCATTCTTTCTGATTTAGGCTCAATGATGGTATGTCATAGTATCTTCATGATTTTAACTCCAATTTTCTAGATTACTAATAGGGCTATAATTTTCAAATGTTTATTAGTCATTTAGATATCTTCTTTGGTGAAGTACATGTCTAAGATTTTGACCACTTTTCTATTGGGTTTTCAATTTATTTCTATGCTAGAAATTCTTTAAATATCTGGTTGAAAGCTTTCTGTTGGATGTTTGTGCTGCAAACCTACTCTGTCATTTGCTTTTTTTTTCTCTTAACGGTTGAAATGATTTATTTTTAATGTTTTCTTTACAGCATTGGGACTGGCTAGCTAAAACTCAGTTTATAAGGGAACATACTGATCAATCATGGCCCTGAAAATTAAGTACTGAAACTATTTTAACAAACCAGGAATTTAAGGCTAAAGTTTAACTCCACAGCAACAAAGAATAATTCCCTTTGTGCTAAACCTTTACTGCAGCTCTTTCATAGACTACCTGCTGAGTTTCTACTTTGTGGAATTGTGGATGAACAGCCAATTCTTTTTCTTTTTATTAGTTACCTATTTTATACATATTAGTCAATCCCAATCTCCCAATTCATTCCTCCACCCCCCTGCTTTCCCCCCTTGGTGTCCATATGTTTGTTCTCTACATCTGTATCTATTTCTGCCTCGCAAACAGGTTCATCTGCACCATTTTTCTAGATTCCACATATATGCATTAATACATGATATTTGTTTTCCTCTTTCTGACTTACTTCACTCTGTATGACAGTCTCTAGATCCATCCACATCTCTACAAATGACCCAATTTCATTCCTTTTTATGGCTGAGTGATATTCCACTGTATTTATGTACCACATCTTCTTTATCCATTCGTCTGTCAATGGGCATTTAGGTTGCTTCTGTGTGACCTGGCTATTGTAAATAGTGCTGCAATGAACACTGGGGTGCATGTGTGTTTTTGAATTACAGTTTTCTCTGGGTATATGCCCAGTAGTGGGATTGCTGGGTCATATGGCAATTCTACTTTTTGTTTTTTAAGAAACATTCATACTGTTCTCCATAGTGGCTGTATCAATTTACGTTCCCACCAACAGTGCACATCCTCTCCAGGAGTTGTTTGTAGATTTTCTGATGATGCCCAGTCTAATCGGTGTGAGGTGATACCTCATTGTAGTTTTGATTTGCATTTCTCTAATAATTAGTGATGTTGAGAAGCTTCTTATGTGCCTCTTGGCCATCTGTGTCTTCTTTAGAAAGATGTCTATTTAGGTCTTCTGCCTATTGCTTGATTGGGTTGTTTGATTTTTTAATATTGAGCTGCATGTGCTGTTTATATATTTTGGAGATTAATCCTTTGTCCGTTGATTCGTTTGCAAATATCTTCTCCCATTCTGAGGGCTGTCTTTTCATCTTGCTTATAGTTTCCTGTGCTGTGCAAAAGCTTTTAAGTTTCATTAGGTCCCATTTGCTTATTTTTGTTTTCATTTCCATTACTCTAGAAGGTGGGTCAAAAAAGATCTTGCTGTGATTTATGTCAAAGAGTGTTTCCCCTATGTTTTCCTCTAAGAGTTTTATAGTGTCCGGTCTTACATTTAGGTCTTTAATCCATTTTGAGTTTATTTTTGTGTATGGTGCTAGGAGTGTTCTAATTTCATTCTTTTATATGTAGCTACCTTCCCAGCACCACTTACTGAAGAGACTGTCTTTTCTCCATTGTATATCTTTGTCTCCTTTGTCATAGATTAGTTGACCATAGGTGCATGGGTTTATCCCTGGGGCTTTCTATCCTGTTCCATTGATCTGTATTTCCGTTTTTGTGCCAGTACCATATTGTCTTGATTACTGTAGCTCTGTAGTATAGTCTGAAGTCAGGGAGTCTGATTCCTCCAGCTCCATTTTTTTCCCCTCAAGATTGCTATTCAGGGCTTTTTGTGTCTCCATACAAATTTTAAGATTTTTTGTTCCAGTTCTTTAAAAACTGCCATTGGTAATTTGATAGGGATTGCACTGAATCTGTAGATTGCTTTGGGTAGTATAGTCATTTTCACAATATTGATTCTTCCAATCCACAAACATAGTATATCTCTCCATGTGTTTGTGTCATCTTTGATTTCTTTCATCAGTGTCTTATAGTTTTCTGAGTATAGGTCTTTTACCTCCTTAGGTAGGTTTATTCCTAAGTATTTTACTCTTTTTGTTGCAATGGTGAGTGTCATTTGCTTTTTAAATATCTTAATGGTGTATTTTAATGGATACAATTCTGAAGATTAAATCCAGTTTTAAAACATTTACATTTATAGTTAGTGTCAATTGTATCCTGTTTAA